TATATATATAGTTTAGAGCTTGCCCTTTTATGCACATTTTTCAGTCTCCTAATGTAGCTGAGGAACAAATTATATCCTAAAAAAATCACTGAATATGACCGCAAGTGCTAAAGTGTTTTACAACAATATAAAACATGTTAATCATCATAAATAATTAGATTTTTACAACATAGAATCAATTTCTCGAGACCAGGGGTCTGAAATCTGTGGTTCTGGGGTCACATGCGGCTATTTGGTCCCTCTGCAGTGGCTCTTTGAATCTCTGATCCAAACTAACATGAGATTACATTTTTTGTTTTTTTATGTTCACAACAGAAAAAGCTAGCTTTATAGCAGTTGTCAATTTGTTTGCAAATAACTGATACAAAAAGTGAAATATGTCGATTAGTTCAAGCTAGTTGCCTCTTAGCCACTTCAACAATCCAACGTGCAGCCTTAAAGTAGGACCTTTCTTTCAAATCCATCAGGATTACCTTTAAAGACCTTTAAATCAAACTAGATAAAAATAATAAATAAGTAATAATAAATCTTATGCCTACTTAGTTCAGTTATGAAACTTGAATAGGTCTATTGTATTTTCTTTTGTCCTAAAGTGTAATAACAATAATACTAAATGGTAAAATTCCCTAAATATTTTTAGTTTTACAATGTTCCTCCTACTGGCTGGAAAGGCTCCCATTCAAAAAACTTAAGTGGCCCACAGACCATCAGTTGATCACAGTTGTACCACATTTTGGGACTCCTGAAATTATTTGAGAAACAAGGAGAAGAATGGCTTTCAAACCACAAAGCTTGAAACAAAAACTTTAGCTTGCATGGAAGTGTCAGTAGGCTTATGCTAGTCAGTGTACCAATAAAATGTCAATAATTTTTGATGTTTAACACTAATCCATAATCCATAATGTTATTTCTTCTAGCATGGACTTAAAAGTTTATTTGGAGAGTTTATGAAGTGTAGCTTATATTGAAAGTACAAAATTAGCAAATGTACACAACCAAAAATATCTAAGAGTAAAGGGTTTATTTTGATTCATTAACAATAAAATACAGTGCAGAACAAATTTTATGAGGATGCAGATTAGAAATGGTCCACAGGCCAACAGCTGATGGTCACTTTATGGAGAATCCTTTGAAAGCAAACATGTTTAATTCTCAAATTTACGGATTTCAGTGAATATTTAACCTTCACCTGTGTGATGCCTCGTGTGGTTTTACTGCTTTGCTGCACACATTTAATGCTTCATTTGAAGCAAACAGTCTCATAGTTCAGTGGTTCCCAACCGTTTCAGACTTGTGTACACCCTGAGCCATTTTGCCATACCACTAGTACCCCTTCAGTCGAATGTAATTGTGATTCTCCAAAACTATAATGTACTACAACTGATTATTAATGAATATAATGAAAATGATTTATTTAACCCCCTAGAACATTTAATTCTCAGGCATTTTATTTGTTCAACACAAATTAAACGTAAAGATGAAAATGTTGCCTTGAAAGTGAATAAGTAATAAAATAAACCAGGTAATGACAGGTGCAGAAAACAGCAGTGTCCAAAATACATTGTATTGTCCAAAATACGTCAAAAACACATCCAAATGAGCAAATTCCATGAGATTCCACTTTTTATATTGGATTCCATATTGTGTTAATTCCATGATTCTGACTGCAATTTCTGCATTGTGGAAATCATATGGCCTTACATATCTCAGTTCTATTTTTATTTACTTTTTTACACACCTGAGAAATTTTTACACATACCCCATGTAATATGCTTGCATACACCTGGTTGTGAATCACTGCTTTAGACACTGTGCAGGGCAGAAGGAACTGTCCAAGGTCCTGAAAATGCTGGAATGTTTCAGGACTTTAGACTGTATGCAGGACAGAAGGAACTGTCCAAGGTCCTGAAAGTGCTGGAATGTTTCAGGAGCTTGGACAGTGTGAAGGACGGAAGGAACTGTCCANGGACGGAAGGAACTGTCCATGGTCCTGTAGATGCTGAAATGTTTCAGAACTTTAGACAGTGTGCAGGGCTGGAGGAACTGTCCAAGGTCCTGAAAGTGCTGGAATGTTTCAGGACTTTAAACAGTGTGAAGGACTGAAGGAACTGTCCAAGGTCCTGAAAGTGCTGGAATGTTTCAGGACTTTTTAATTCAGATGTTGCATGTTTCTTTTCTTTTTGTAACCGCAAAAAAAGGAAATATTGCTTTTAGTTTTTTTGTGTTGCATGTCTCAGGTAGAGTTGTTTCTTTACAGAACTGTGTAGACACTTGACAAATATAGAAAAAATACCTGCAATATCTTTAAGACTCCACATGACAAAGTGAGTGGAATTCTGACACAAACCACAGATGCAAAGCAAAAGCATATGAAATATTCTTGTTGATAAAAATTCATGAACATGTGTCCGTGCATCTGGTTGCATGTGCTTTCTGGAAGCGTGCACTCGTGTGTACACATGGCTCCCCATGTGGACGAATTCTGACTCTTTTCAAAGCACAAGGCTTAGTCATAGTGTGTTATCAAGACTTGTTTTTTTCTTCTTCAAATAAGAAATAAACTGAATTCAAAGGCCTCCAAAGGGGAGGAAATGATGACTTAAGAATAGAATCAGGCTTAAAAAGATCTTTTGGCAACTATTTATTCATCAATTTCCATTTCATACATACAAACCTCTAAATTGAATAATAAATCCCACAGACAATGGAGAACAAACACCTCCATTATGGGGAGAAAGAACAAATCAAGATCCCTCTCTACAGCTCGATATGAAGCCCCCTATTTCATCAAGATACTCAAGACCCTAACTGACACGTTTAGTTCTAATCTTGGTCTTTGCTCAGGTTTACTGTGGAATTGTTTGTATTTAGTGAGTGGTTGTGCCTCGGAACAACATCCAACTAAAGATTTACTGTTTAAAAATGTTAATACACACAATGGAAGTGAACAAAGGCAGTAAAGTGAATTCATATATTAAACTAGATTCTGTTGRGACACCCCTGCTATTATTCTTCAAGCTCATAATTTGCAGCAAATTTCCAAATCTTAATGTTTACGTTATTTATAAAAGAAAACAAAAACAGCTAAAAGTCAAATATTACACAGCAAAGTGACAGAATTACTGAAGACTCAATGAATAATTTTATTAACATTGTGGTAATCTTAAACTCAACAAATACATGGTGGACATAAAGGGACTATTAGTGATAAGTGTTTACAAGTCCCTGTTTCAAAGCAAAACAAACAAAAATAACCCAAATAACCCCAATAAAATCAAATCTAAATGAAATATATTCCTGAGATGAAAAAAAAATAAAGCATATCACTACATGCGATTGTGTCACATCATTTTCAATGTGACAGTATAAACTGGGCTGATTGACGCGTGGGTTGATATTGCAGAGGAACAGAGGATTGCACTAAAGCCAAACTGTACAGCAAAGACATACAAAAAAAATAAAAACTGAAGGGAAGGTGGGACAAGATCATGGCAGGTTGTGCTATTATTACATCTGTGGAGAACATACTGATTAAAACAATGAGTTACAACAGACCCGTAAACCATTATAAAAAAGATAATAACCCACAGCAACATTATTTTCATATTTATTATCTTATAATTAGAAGCTGATACTGCTTTCTTAATATGGGCATCRAATTTCCTAAGCAGGTTGCAAGTCCAATATGTGTGCTGCTCCAGGATCAGTGCAGTTTAAGGACAAACAAAACAAAACATTAGCTAGTCCCATCCATAAAAAAGACAGGTGAAAGGCATGGGCAGACAGGAGAAAAAAAAGACGTCTGTGTTGAGTTCTATGGGCCTGGGGAGCTTAGTTTGTTTTCAAGATGCATCAAAATCTACTAATAAGACCTATATCAGCATCAMCAGCACTAAACCAACAAACTGCTGTCTGCTGTTTATTACTAGGCAACGGTACCATTTGAAACTTTGCCCCCGTCTGTACGTAGAACCGCCAACATGGAAATTGCTCACTAAATTGTGTGCAATTTCATGCCAAAATTGCAACCAGTATTGCGCTGCTTAATCTGCATAAATGCACAAACTCGGCGGCACTACACACACACACACACACACACCTCCAGCAGAAAGAGAATAAGAGTTAGGAGAAAATTAGAGAAAAACAATTCTAGAAAATGGACTCGTGGCCAATGGAAATGGCAGCACAACCATGTTAGTGCTATAATTGACTTGCTGCCAGTGTGAAATTAGAGGCCCATGATCTTTCAAATATTAACCAAACGGATAAGAACAGAAAGTAAAATGGGATGGTTTTAAAGCTTAGTTTCAATCAACAACAACAAAGACAGACAGCTACGATAAAACACAGCTACACTTGGATCTGTGTGCTAAAATGGTGCATGGTGGTAGAAGTCAGGCTGTTAAATTATTAAAAAAACACACACAATTTAGGTTTGGTCTAAAGATTTTTTAAAAAGCCATTGCAACAAAGTAACTCGTGTCAAAACAAATATTTACAAGTGCTTTCTATGGAGATAAACAAAACACACATTTTAACAATTACTGACATTGAATGAACTGGTCAGAGTGCATAATTCAGTAAATGGCATGTTTTTTTAATTTTCTTTTTTAATGCCAACACCAACTCAACACTGCAGACCTGCTGTTTTCTCTGTCCTCAAAATCCTAACTCATCCCAAATCTGATGCAGAAACACGGGTGAGTAACAAAAAAAAAAAAAAAAACTGACATCATGATTTAAGACAGAAAAAAAGAAAGATGTTACGTTGCTGTGACAAATGTGTCCACACACAAAATCATAAAAGGCAAAAATATTTTATTTGAACCAACTGAAGGTCTGTGGTGATGCTCACATGACACCTGCTAATATTGCTAATCGCGGCACATGAAAACTCCGCAAACTCTGAGAAAGTTTCCGATTTTTCAATACAGATCATTTGTGTATTCAAACTGCAGTGTGTAAGCTTAATCCTACATTAGCTGCGATAGGCAAAAACTAAGCAAAAGTTTGCCGACTTTGTGATTCAGTCCGTCTCTCCTGAAGTAATAACCTTACTGGCTGACCTTCTTTGCATAAAGCTGTAAATTGGCCACCAAACTGGAGACAGCTGGGCTCACTTTTTGTATTTTTTTATTGCCCTTAGTAATAAATTGCTCCCGCCAAGTAGATTAGTGCCTTTATTTGAAGTTCTTTTGGTGTTTGTCATAAATTCACAGAAGAGTAAATCAACCATTTGTTTTTCAAACTCATAGAAAACAACAGGAATGCTTAAAAAATAACACTGAAAAGTTGTTACAGTTGTTACTAATGTGGGGAGAATTTCTTGCCACCAACTTAAAGGTAATGTGTTTCATTGTATCACTGTTTAATTCTGTATTTTTTATCATTTCAACTGCAGTTACAATTTTATGTTTCAAGACTTAACAAAAGATTATTTTTATTTCTGTGGGCAAAAACACTTCTTGCACTGCCATTTTTTATTTTTACAAATTTTATCTTTTTTTAATTTCTCAAGCTTTTCTCCTTCAGGTCTGTAGCACCTGAAAACACACCACAAATACTGTTTTAAAATCTTTTCCCTTCCCTTGTGATTATCTCCTAAAAATAATTAAAAAAAACTTCAGTTCAAATAAATAAACATGAAATAATCAAATAAAAACATGCCAATGTGRAGTACCAAATTTTAGTTCTTACACATTATATACATGCTTCGCACAAAAACAAATCACACTTTATAGCCGTTTAAAAAGAGTAATGCAATGAAAATTTTAAAAGTAAATAGATAAGGTGGCCAATATACAAATTTGAAGGTATACAGGAGTTCYAAATTTAACAGCAACTTTCACAATCAACCACATTTTAGCACACACAATATACAGCAGGAAGTGTGATACAATTTAAAACCAACAGTATTAGACTTTTTAAAATATAAATAGATTAAAAAAAATGCTTAGATTTTTCATCTTTCCTTCATTTTTTTAGTTTTTGATTAAAAGAACCTTTCCGTAGGCAAMTCAATTGTTGGCAAAGAAACAGTAACTTTCTCGAACATGTTTTTGTGCTTTTATTAATATGTCTCCAGTTTTCAGGTTTGGTATTGGGGCCCCTGTAGATCCATGGCCAGGCGTTCACACCAAATGTTTCTTTCTTTTGTTCTCCTTTTGATATGATCCGAGACCTCATAGGAAAAACAAACAAACAGACAAGCAAAAAAAAAAAAAAAAAAAAAAAAAAAAAGAGCAGTGACACTTTGTACAAAAACCTAACTCATAGTGACTTTTAATTAATGGAAACAAGAAGCACAACAAGTTGGTAACAGCAGTTAAACTCCACCATTAAAAAAGCAAAGCATAAATTAGAAAGTGGCAGTCAAATTGATGACATCAGTATTCCTGTATTGCGGCTGATCATGAATGGGTAATGCGGATGCTGCCTGCATCTCCAACGTACACGAGGCATCGGTCAAAATTACAGAAAAATGTACAAAAAGGTTTGATGCTAGATCTTCAATAAACACTGGAACTGTTCCTGTAGTAGTCTTTTTTGCAACATCAAATGGTTTATGATAAATATCAGGAGGTCCTTAAGCTGAAATATGACTTCATTGTGACATAAACATTAAGTAATTTCCTAAAAGTGAAAAGTAAACTAATTTTAATACAATTTATACAGCTTTTAAACAAAGAGGTTGATTCTTTCTGTACACCTGAACCATTACTGTAAAACACAAACTACTGTGAGCTGTTCAGATGATGCTTAAAGTGAAAGTTCAGATTTTTTTTGAAAGAGTGGGGTTCTGTGGAATGGTTATAAATAATTAATATCTTGTTGTTTCAGATGGCTTTTTTTGAGAGACTTCAGCTCAGAGAATTTGAGTTTAATTCTGACCTGACTGATGCGCTAACAACTAATCTAAGTTTTGATAAAACCAAATGGTGATTAGCAAGTGCAAATAGAGACAAAAGCTAGGTGTAACTCTTTTGGTGAAGTTTGGAGCATGTTTCAGTTGAGCCATATATTTAATAAAATAACTGTGTAATAAGAAACTGACTTTACAGTGAAGCCCCTATACAGACTGAGTCCGCAAAGATTTTAACAGTTTGACTCAGTCATAGAGCGGTAATCCCCCGTCATATCGTGAAAGTCGTAAATACAGTGCAGTAAGGAACATCATTTTTTTCTCATGCTTTTTTGAGTTTTAAGTTAAATTACTGAGAACAATATAATGAACTAATTTTGTAACATCTCTTCAACTTCAACTTTAACTTTAACATAACTTCAGTTCCATAAAAAATAAAATAAAATACAGTACAGTACTTGACACATGCCCTGTGCCGATCTGTAGAGCAGCATTTCCACCTTCTAGCAGTACTGTACGGTGTATGGCTGCTAACGGTTTAGCTCTCATGTGTTTTTTGTTTGGTTCATACTGCATTATAAAGCTACCCTAAATGTTCTACAGGCCCTTTCTGGACAACATCCAATTTTCACGTTTTTTCATGATTTGTGGCTCCTCTAAGAACGTTAGCTCCACAAAAATCCAGGATTCACTGTAATATAAAAGTTTAGAAAATAGTGTTTTAAAACATTGTTTTAGGAAAGCATCAATCCACTGGTTTCGACCTTGCTCAAATTAGCAGTTAATTTCTCAGTCTGTTCTGAAGCAAAATCTGTTCTCCAAACAGAGGTTGTTTAAAGACCAAAGCAGAACGTGTAAGACACTAATTGGTCATAACCTTTTCACAGAACCTCACTTTAAAAGGTCTGAACTGTCATTTTAAGATGTTTTGTTAATCTGCAGCCTGCCCATTACAGGGATATGCAGGTTAAAGTAAACATGTACATCGTTTGAGCAAATAGTTTTACATATTTATTTGAGCTGACTCGATGGAATGGATCATGTAGTATCTTTACTATATTTTTGGTGTGTTCTCTGCTCTAAACAATACTGCACTACCCTTTTTTTCTTTTACTCCTACCCTAATAGTCAAAATCATATTATACACTTATCTGACAAAACCTTGCTACAGTGTTACACAAAACCTTCGTCTTATCTTACAAAGGGTCCACTGTTTAATTACAAGTCTATTTGAAAAGGGATGGGTTTGGGAGTGGTGAACCGCCTAAAAGTACCATATTCAGTGTGATGCACATATAAGGCGTAAACAGCACAGAGTTTTATTCAAATGAAAAGGATGCAATCCATATTTAAAAGCCATGAGCTATGCAATGAAATGATTTACAAAGCATTTACATTGCTGCCGACAGGCGATACATGAAGGCATTGACAGAAGTTCGATGGCGTCTGCATTTTTAGGCACCGTGTTGATGTGAGATATGTGTTTGTGAACACGGGATATAATATGTGTGTGTATGTGTGTGTGTCTGCTTGGTGGGAATTGGGGTGGGGTGGGGGTAAAGATGAACACAAGGCTTATTTAAGAAGCAGTCATGGTAGATATACAGATTTCCAGGTGTTCGTGTCAAAAGAAAGTGGGGGCATCTTCAGCAGCAGCATCAAGCTGGCTGTCAAAAACATCAACCAAAAACGAGAACAACAAAGAAATCAAAGACAATGATGCAGCTGAGAGAAATGCACTGAATAAAAAACAAACAAACAAACAAAAAACAAAATAACGCATGGAGATCTTCTCTCCCTGCGAACTACTTGTTGATTTGAGCAGGCAGTGGCCAGACGTGATGGAGAAGAGTGGGAGACAGAAAGAGACAATAAGAAATACAGAGACTGAGGTGACAGAAAGAAGAGGGCGAGAGCTGCACGGCTCCCTATGCAGTCTAAATGAAGTATTCCTTCTTTTCTTCTGCATGCGCATGGTTGCCCTCAGCGTTGATAATGGCCGTGTCGGCGTCGGGCGCGTCGTCCGCTCCTTTGGCTTCGTTCGTCAAGTACGTTCCTTTGGAAACGAGAGAGGGAGAGAGAAAACAAACCCATCTCAAGGAAAACAAATAGTGAGCAGCCCTGCATGGTGTTGGAAGCCTGAGGCACAAAACACATCTGAAGACAACATCAGTGATGCTACATTATTCATAAACAGAATGATGAGATGCTGGGATAGTGTGGTAAATGTGAAAACAGCAGAGTAGAAACCCTCCACAGATAAAGCCAAATACAGTAGAATCAACAAACACTTTAACAGCTGCCAATAGCAGACGCAGCGTAAAAATCACAAAATGATCTGAMGATGCGCTCACAGTTAAAATTGATCAAATGCAAATGTTTTGACATAAAGACACATCCAGCTTTTACCCACTGGTAATGCTTAATGATGTGGCTGTCTAGATTCAGCTTATAAAAATGCAGAAACCACACAGATGGGAACTGTTGTGATCTCCAGGAAGAAAGGAAATAAAGTTAACTCTAATCCTAATGGTGCCATGCCTACTTGGCCCCTATCTGGATTCACTGTGTTGTGCATCAGTTACAACATTACTTGAGCCGGCACAACTTCTTTTGTTCTCATCAAGTTGTAACAAGAAAATTAGAAKAGAGCTCCATTCCAAAGGGACAAGTAGGACACCCTTCACTGGTTCAATGAGCCCTGAAGTCTGGTCCWTTGTGGTTTTACCTTTATGCCTGGCCAGGTATCTTCCAAGTACAATYATTAAACACAGGGTGACAAAGACCACCACAGCCACCACTCCTCCGATCAAGGCGTGGTCGGTGCCATGCTGTCCCACTGCGTTGGGATCTGAGGGAAGATGGKAAAAAAAGAGAAACAAAGAGAGAAGATCAATGCGTCGGTTAGAGAGGTGATGGAGTGAAAGCGCAGAAAAACAGCAGAGGACAGGAAGTGAGCAAAGAGGACAAATAGAATTATTTCCAGTTTGTCCTTCTGAGTGGTGGTTGTTCCTCCCCCGGTTTCTCATTATGCAGTCAGAGAGGAGACAGAGAGCTCTCTGAAAATAATAAAACAGAGAAGAGAGACGGACACACCATTGACATGGAAAAAGGCAGACATGCAGTCAACTTGAAAAATGAAGGGAAAAGAGATTGTATGAGGCTATTTGTTAAAAAAAGTGAATAATTTAGGACCACCCCCACAGCYCCGTAGGAGTCCTCAACATGCAAACCAGGGCAGCAGACAAGGGATTGTACACAGTAAATAAATCATTGCATTGAAACTAGGAAGGAAAATTTGTTTTTTTTTCTTATTTATATACATATTTTTTAAAGAGTAGGACTTTTTGTTGTGAAAAAGATTGAGATGTCAGAGAGTGGTGGGTCTGCAGTTGGACGAACAGTGAAGTCCCAACTTTCTTGGGGGTTACATTTTAAGATTACATGGAAAAATGCAAATATTGGATTCATTTCAGAAAAGGGCTACAGTGAGTTTGGGGTGGCATCATGATGCCATAAGAACCAAACAAACACACAAGAGCTAAACAGTCATCAGATACATGTAGTAAACTGTTAGAAGGCAGAAAGGCTGCACTCAAGGCTTGTGCCATACACTGTAATGAATTGTTTTTTATTTTCTGTTTTTATAGGATCTGAATTGATGTTATTTATGGTACAAAGTTAGTAAATCATATTGTTATTAATAATTTAGCTTGAAAACTTGCAACAAAACACAAGAGAAAAAGTTATTGATGTTCCTCACTAATGGACTTCTTGTTTCCATGATATTACAGGGATTATCGCAAACTACTACCGGGGTAGGTTCCGTAAAAGTTCAGTGAAACACTGAGTCTGCAAACTATGAATTTCAACTTTGCTGGGCTTCACTGTACAGTCAAACAATAAGAAAGCAAATGTATCCAAGGAGAAAAGACTCTACCTAATTTAAAAAAACTCTCTGTCCTTCAACAGTAACTTGGTTTCATTAAACAGTTTGACTTCTTTTCCACAAAGTCTGGTATCCATCCATCCATCCATCCATCCATCCATCCATCCATCCATCCATCCATCCATCCATCCATCCATCCATCC